AGGTATTGCAATGTCCACTATTCAGGCTTTTTTGTCTTTCTATCAACAATTGTTAAGTCTGGGTTGTGTGGCAGGTGCTTGTCTGTTTGAATTCTAAAGTTGCAGAGCACATCAGCTTCTTAATTTTCTATTACTTTGTCTGTTTTGTGGTCCCTCCAGTTCTTGCTTGCAGGCAAATGCTATTTCTCACAGATATTCTAGTGCACCATTGTTGCTACTTTGTCATGCCACTGTTTGTAGTCAGTCCGCCTGATCTTCTCGCAGCAGCTAACTAGGTGGTCCACTGTTGCTTCAGCTTCTTTGCAGAGGCGGCATTTGCTGTCTGTTGTTGTTGTTATTTCACCTTTTTTATAGGCAGCAAATATACCTAATACTCTACCTCCTATTTTTCCCACAACAACCCTGTGAGGTGGGTTGGACTGAGAGAGAGTGACTGGCCCAAAGTCACCCAGCCGGCTTTCATGCCTAAGGGAGACCTAGAACTCATAGTCTCCTGGTTTCTAGGCCAGCACCTTCACCAGTACATCAAACTGGCTCTCATATGGACAAAATATGATGATACCTCTGCAGCTAAACTTAGTCCAGAAAGGCAAACATTGTCAGGACACAGATAGATGCCTTTGACTCAAATTTCAATTTGCGATTTATAGTTTTGACTCAGAAGAAAACTGGGCAAAAAAAAATAATGTTATGTACACACTGAGCAAATCTTATATTCAGAGAGACCATGAAACAGAGAATAGCCACAAGTCTACATGGAAAATTAATCTGAATCATAGATCTATTAACTTTGGGCTCTACGTAAACATGGTAATATTCATATGTAATTAATGTAATAAATGTTCTGTATTTTCTTTTAACAGTAGAAACATTTTTACCATTCGTTGTGCTGCTATAAGTGTAGCAAGAGTACTGCGGCCTGGAGCTCCAGGAGCACAATAAGACACGTGGACTCTTTTTTCCTTGATAGTCAAACCATCTGTGCCTTGCTGTACTTCCTCTGCTTGTTCTGCTGTTTCATACTCAATTACTCCAAAGCCACCAACAGAGCTGTCTTCATCCTGAGCAAGCTGTAAGGATATTTCACAACATAGTAAAAAAAAGTCTATCCTGTTCCAACTGTTCCAAAAAGCATTGCATTATTCCAACTCTGTAATATGAACATCTTACACAAGATAAATTAACTTGTAGATCATTCCTCATACAAGCTTAATTTAATACACAATATCTGCTGCTGATCTATACTCCCAATCTCATGAAGAACCTGAGCTATAAATGTTTTTGGCAGTTATCTTACAGAGCATTAAGAAACAGAATCACATTTGGAAATAATTTTTAATCACGAGCACATTTTTCTTAGAAATTTCATTCCTACTATGAAATGCATACTAGTGACTTTTAACTGCAATTTTTTAGTATTGATACGCTTTCTTATTTTAAAACATGAAATGCAATTACATTTTACTTGATTAGTTTTTATATCTAGATGTATTTTTATGCAAGATACAAGTTTTGTTTGTTTCTTTTATAGCATTACAATAGAACTATCTCCCCAACAGATACCAGAATCTAAATACCCACATTCTAAAAGCTGTTTGCATTCAGCAGGAAATTTATCTTACTGGAGAACAATAGTTTTATACAGAGCAAATGTTTCACTGGAGGTGGTGCCTGGATACATCGCTAGGTGATCATGTCCAACTGCCATCCTTTTAAGATCAGCCTCATGTGCATCTGTTTTATGAACTTTGAAATGAACACAGCATGACTGAACAGTTTGATGTTTATGTTCTCATTTTATTTTTATTTATTTTACTGGGATTATAGACCATTCCAGTTACAAATGACTTTGAGTTACATATATTCCAATTTATCTTACTGAGGCTAAAACAGTACAGTTAAAACAAAGCCTGTCAATACATACATACATACTGAGAACATTAAACAAGTTAATCAATTCAGTCAGCCAAAAAAGAAACCTTCCACTGCCAGAAGCAACAAGCTTACAATTTTAGAACCTCCAAGGTTTAATGGAATAACCACATTTTAATGGCCTCCAGAAAAACCGATAGGGAAAAGGCCATTCAGGTGCCTGGGGGAACGCTCTTCCACAGAAGGTCAGCAGCAATTGAGAAAGCTTGCTTCTATGGTCTCTGGAGGGGTCATTCTCTGAATAAAGGGAACTGGAGGGACCGCATGCTACCAGATCTTATTGGACCAGCAGATACCACTGGAGTCAGAAGTCCGATAGATATTCCTGTTGGTTCTATGGCTAGTTAAGCAGCAGAATCACAGCTGCCTGAATGAGCAAGTGTCCTACCTATTGGTTACTGCAGGTCCACAGAAGAGGTAAAGTAGAGCACAAGCAAGGAAATAGCAGGTATAGCTTTTTGGCGGAAACAAGATAGTGAAAACAAGTCAGATTCTTTGCGGTTATGTGGTCAGTTTCTTGGCAGTCTATAGCTGCAGTCCTTCCTCTTGCTCCCCTCCCCATCTAAAGTCAGCCCGTGTTGATAAGACACGTAAGACTGATTAAAAAAACTGGTACACTTTTGTTACTGAGCCATGAGGGAAAACTAAGAAAGCAAGGACTGGTGGATACTCACACTTCCTGTTCTCTCACAGCACTGAGGATAATTTCCCTCCTTGTCAAAGACCAGGAGTAAGTTGCAGTAAGACTGCAAATGTACATTCTGTTCTCTGGATGTAAATCTCACTGAACTAGACACTGCACTATTGAACTCTTTCATATTTTCTCTATGTCTGTGTGCAAGACATGCATACACATATCTGTAGTCAAAGAAAATATACTGTATTTCACATATCTTTTTCAAAGTGAAAAAGAAAGACTAAATAATATCTAAGAAAAGTGGCCATGAGTAGTACACACATCCCTTTTTCCCTTCTGTCGTTTTCCCATCATTTCGTATTCACCTCACTGCTCTTTGTTGATGCTTTCATTTTTTTCACTGGAAATCTCCACACTTGAAAATAGTTAGAATTTAAGTCTGCCTCTGATCCCTACGTGCAGGAAAGAGTGGAAATGCCAAAGAAACAAGCCATGCACATTTATCCTCCCAATTCCCTCTCCCTCTCTATTCTTTGATGTTTAAATATGCTCGCTTTGGTAGTTCAATTCTTGAAGCCCCATAATCTTCCACTTGGAAGAAAGTCAGATCAATCTAAAAATGAACAGGAGAAGACAAACCAAAAAGCTCTTTGAGGTTCATTTAGGATAAAGAATCATAATAAAAAAGAATATGGTTCTTGAGAAATTGCCCATCATTGTCAGATAGCACCTTGACAGCAGGCTGTATCTCAAGCAGTTACTTTTCACTGCTATAAATGCTGTTTTGTATTTATATGTAAATATATAAATACATTTGCAACATGCATATAGATTAGTATACTTAATTTCTCCTCGTGGGAAGGTGCAAATCCTTTTTTGGACTTTTCTATACCATTCCACAAGAAAAGCATGAATGGCATTGTTTTATGTAATTAACTAATTAAAGGCAGATATTGTTCAAAGTGTGCTCCCCCTCATGTTTCAGTATTTAGGAAGAGATTTAACACGCTTAATAAAAAGAGCCATAAAAATTGAAAAGTGTCAATATTTATATTGATATTGCCAGTCCATAATTAATAATGACATAGCAATTTATTTCTCCATCACTTTCAAAAGATCTTAAAGAGTCTTCATCTGCTCAACCCCCACAGGACATATGGAGCTCAGCAGTACTCATTTCATGCCAACTGAGAACTTTTGCCCTTTGATAAACAAGCAGCAGCTGTTCATTCTGTCCTATAAACTCTCTCTAGAACAATATAAAAACATAAATAGGTATAATCCACCTGTGCAAACCTTGTCAAAGTGGATGAAAGTTCCCAGAAAACAATGCTAGCCACTAGGATCGTTCCAAAATAGATCCATAGCAAAATATTAATGGAAAAAATGCAAAATATATCTTCGAATAATAACATTCTGCCACAGAACAAAACACAGTGTATAAACAAAATTAAGATAATGTTTAGAAAAATAACAACTGTGACTTAACACAGCCTGCAGCTGAAAGGACAGTTATGATAGATATATTTCCAACATGCCAAAAGAGGAGCAAAGACAGCTGGATCAAATGAAAGTCTATCTAGTCCAGTATTTTGTTCCCACAGTTGCCAAGTAGATGTCTCTGGAGAGAACACAAGCAGAACATGAGTGCAGGGACATCTTTCTACACTTGTTCCCCAACAATTGGCACTAAGAGGTACACTGCCTCCACTTCTGGAGGCAATATATGGCCATCAAAACTAGCAGCTTTCAATACCTTTTCTTCCATGAATATTTCTATCACTATGCCTTGTAATTGTGAATTTCACTGTTTTAATCTTACCCTGATCAAGACACCCTTCTCTATATTTGTCCTGAATTTCCTAGCTTTCAGCTTTCAATGAAGCATTCAGTTTCATTGGACAACACTAGTTTATTGTATGATGAAGGGACAAAAACTCCTTACCCTTTTTTCTCCAGAGTGCACATAATTTCATATATTTCTGTCATACCCCACTCTTTATTTCTTATGCTTAACACTTGGCCTCTTTCTATAACTTTTTAGATTTTTGAAGAAAAGTTTCTGAGACATGGTGATAGAACTCTATGTGGTATTCCAAGCACAGTCATACAGTAAATGTATATAATAGCATTTCTTTTCTGGTCAATCAGGGCCAATTCACATCCAACCTGCTTATAAATGTGAGTTGGATTTGTTGCTTTACTTGTTAAGCCTTAATACTGAACTGCAATTACCAGTTTAATATCTGTATCTCTAATTCAAATTGTTTGCCCATAACCAGATAATTTATGAAGAAAACAAATAGTACCAGGCCCAATACTAAATTATTCTATTGTGAGAATGATAAAATATTAGATATGTCTTTAAACACATTGGAAAAAACTGGCTATATGTAGGAACTGCCTTAAAGGGAGATAAACCATTGGTTTTTCTAATCTAGCATTTTGCTTCACTCAGGTTTTAGATGGAAAAACTTCCAGCTATGATTTCCAGTAGCTTTTTAATGGAGATGCATACTCTGTTACTTCATCTTAAGAAAGGGGTCGATAACTTTTTCAGGCAGAAGGCACCATTGCACAATTTTGTACAATGTTGTGGGTGCCAAAAATAAATTTAAAAAATCAAATATTAAAATTTAAGAACCATTTTTGAAACAAAATGTAAACGAAAATTCTGCAAATGTAATATTTTGATATAATGAAGGAGCTTTATTTTTCTTACTTCATCCCCCAGAACATTAGAGATCCTAGATTTAATTTTTAAAAACTCCCAAAGTTTCTCTTGAATAGCAATTTTATATACTTTGACATAAGTTACCGTTATGTCAACAGCATGTTGGCTGAGACAGACATTTATGTAATTTCCAGGTGACTTACAGATGGCAATCATTGTCAAATCCAATAAATATTGCATACAGCTACAAATATATAACCACTCATTAATATGAACATATTAAGCTGCAAATCAAATCAAGGAAAGTCCATGCAGTGTCATTAAATCATAAAATTTGCGAAGAGAGCTTTCACTTTTAAAGACAAAGCATTTTACTTACTTGGTAGAACACAGGTTTATAATTAGTTGAGAAAGTTTGCAAGAGATCATCTCCAACAGTACAGTCTATAGGAAGGTTTTCCACACAAAGGCACTTTGAATGTACGAGTTCTGGAGTTATTTGATTAGCATCCATCCACTGGGCAAAAAGGACATTTCCACCTAATTGTTTCCCAAGAAGGTCCAACCTAGCCTTTGCTGCAGAATCCTTTTTCATGTATTCCACAAAACCATAGCCCTTGGAATAGCCAGTGACTTCACTGTATACCAAGAAGTGTCTCTCAACATTCCCATAAGGTCGCACCAGCTCTTCAAACTCTTGCAATGTATAGAGAGGGGGCAAATTGGTAATGCAGATCAGGGCATCAGTTGGCTGAAGCTGTACTGATATTTCTTTTCCTCGAAGGGAATGTTGGTGAAACAGCCGTATTGCATTCTGAGCTTGCTCCCCATTCAGTAGAGTAACAAAAGCTGAAAGACAGCAAATCAGGCAAAATGTTTATGTAAACTCTGTGACAGGGCTGGGCAGATTTTAAGCTCATGGGATCTACTAAAACCCTGTGATTTCTAAGCCCAGGGATATGCTTTGAGTCCTGAAACTGATATTACTTCACAATCCTTCCACACAAAAGTCCATTCCGCTGCTTTCTCCATTTCAGCAATTATCACCTAGGATGGGAGGTGTCATTTTGTTCTGCCTTTTACCCACAGCTGTGCTGCCACAATGAACTTTGAGCAAAACCTTTTGTTTGCTCAATGAGTCTTAGACCAAGAAAAGCACAAAAAATCCTTACAAAATAGTTGATTAACTTTTGTGATATTCCAACAGGAATATGTACAGAAGGCATAACATGTAAATCTGAAATAGTGTATCTTTTTTCTTAATTTAAAATGAATATTACAAATTCATGTATTAGCCATCTTCTCTCACCAAAAAGTAGAAATTTGGCTCAAGTGGATTCTGTCCATTGGATTTTTCAGGATTTGCTATACTACCAATCTTTTCCTGTGGATCCACCTCAATAACAAGTTCATTCAGTATACATGGGATGGGAGGCTGGGGGAACACAGTATGGAAGAAGGAAAGGAAATCTGTTTATATGACTGCTGCACTGGATATATCCCAAGATGCCATCTTGTTAAGCCAATAATATACAATTTCCAGTTTTATAACATGACATTTTACGATCATAGTATAAGCAGTGCTGATATATAAAATAAAATTATATTCATATGTTTTAATACTATCAGGTAAACTCTGGGAATAAACCAAATTCTAATCTAACATCAATGTCTGTTCATTCTCATCAGCTATTCTTTCCTCCTTATTATGTTTTGTTAAAAATTGGCATGATGTCATTGGCAGGTGAAAGTGTCGCCTGGCACAAATAACCTTTTAAAGTTATTGCCGATATATCATATTCCGATAGACTTTTCCTGAAATTCAATTCCAGGAAGCTCTGGTCGCAAGATTACTGTTTAAAACCAAAAACATATTTTATTCCAGTACGCCTATTAATCATCTGTTTTTACTGAACACCAAAACTTAAGTGGAAACGAAATAGAATGGTAAGACAACACCGCTGAGAATCAGGAATGTTAACATCTTCTTTCAAGCCTGAATAATCAAAGGTTATACTATCCTCAAGTCTACTCAAGAGGTTTACTAAATAAAATATAAATGCAAGTCTCATAGAAAAACTGGTTTGAATGAAAGGCAAATTACTTATATCAGGGGTGTGCAACCAACCCCTCTAAGTCCTTTCAAAGTTATAGCTGAAATGACTTCTGAATATAGCATAAGAACATTTCAAAAACATAGGAAGTAATTCTTTTAATAAAGACTCATAACAGCTACATGGGCATACCCATTTAATTTTTTTGACAGCAATACAGGATTCATTCAGCTTCCTAGTCAAGTTTACTGCCTTTGAATTCCTGGAGGTTTCCTATCTAAGTTAAAACCAGGTCTTAATGTTTCAAGATCAGCCAACAAGCAATCATATTAATGGTACTTAATAAATCTAATTTAATTTTTTCATCTTATTCTCACTCTTATTGGAATGCAATCCTCAATATGCCAGTCAAATACCAAACACAATCTTTATCCTGAAAAAGTTTTATTTATATACAATCCTGATTTATTTGATATAAAGAGAAACTCTAGCTAATAGGAATGCAATGGGATTGAAGAATCACTCCAAATCAGGCAGCGTATCTTTGGATTGTAGGCAAGGTTCTCAGTGTGAAACTATTCTCCATTTCCATTACATCCTTGTAAAATACAGCCCTTGATATCCATTAGGTCCTCTGGAGAGGAGTGAAAGGATCTGTGATGATATGATGATGAGAGGAGGAGGAGGAGGAGGAGGAGGAGGACCACTCAGTGCAGAAGTTGACCTTGACACTGAATACCATTCTATACAAATAGATTCCAATAAATACTTATTTTTTTTACTCATACAGAAAACATGCACAAGGGCCATTTACAAAAATAGTATCAGTTAATTTTGATGGTTAAGTTACCCACTGTAATTGTCCAACTGTAATAAGAGTAGGCAGTATGTTGCACTTCAGAAGTTCTGAACTACAACTTCAAGAAATTTCAACTAGTTGTTGCCTCCAAACTATGAAAGGCCTACACAATTTTGCCATCATTAAATAAATTCTATTCCTATGTATCAATAATGCAGAAGCACTTTAAAAATGGATTGTCACTCATTAATTTTTTAAACAAAGATTATAATTGATTGATGGTACATACCAATAGCCTAGTAATTACAAAATTCAACGTGACATCAATTTAGAGGAAAGATTTGTCAGTAGCATTTTCTCTTCAGTGGCCACCTTGCATATTCAAGCTATCAATATTGAACAATTAAATTATGAATATACATTTCCAAACTGATCCCTAGAAGAATAAATACTATAGACTGAAAATTTGTTCCTAAATGCAAAAATCTAGGGTTTCCAAGATTTCCTAACGCCTTTCAAGTCCAAAATAAAAAATGGTATTTATAAATCTCACTATTTTAATGTTAATATGTAAGAGTATAACTTCAGATTTAATCATATTAGGCTGAATCAAATACAATTTTTAAAAACCATGTTCTGATGACATGAAAACAAATATTTGAACATATTTTCCTTTCATGTACTTTAATTCCCATACACCTCTTTTTTGGCTTACCATTTGTTTGTTATTCAAATAAACTAGTACAGTATGATTTGAGCATCCTAAGAAAAGAATCAGTGTGCAGGAAAGAAACATGAGAAAAACATGAGCTTGATACATACACATGTACACACACACACACACACTAGCACATTGAAGCAACAATTTAATGTTGTTATTAAATTGTGATAAAAAAAATTAATCAAAATAGTCAAATCTATTATCATAAATATTATATTGCAAGTTTTTACCTGTTCTTTTATGTTTGTCCACATAACAATACTTCAGTTCAAAGTCTTTTAATAAATCATGGATTTCCTAAAAGAAAAACAATGCATCAATAAATACCAACTCAGTGGAATTATTCTTTTTATTTCAGCTTAGAGATCTGAAACTGGTCCAAGTAAAAAATTATTCTCAAGACATGCTGCCAAGCAAATATTAGTTAAGTATCAGTATGAGCATGATGCAGTTCAACAGCAAACAGGACTCTCTAAACAGCAGAGTTCACAATATCTTATTTTAAAAATGTCAAAATTTGCCAAAGGTTCGATTGTAAGCAAAATTCTGAAGATGAAAGGCATTTCCTCACAGTGACATTTTCTATTCAGCTACATCACCATGTTCTTTGTAGAAAGAGAATACCAGAAATGCAGTCTTGAATCTAAACTTAACCAGTCATGTTTTCATGAAATGCATGAAATTAAACACCAGGCCAATTAGCTGCAACAATATCTATGGTTACAGGGCAACCCCATCTGCTATCAGAATTCTACATCTTGCATGACGCATTAACATTAAATTCTGAAAGCACGCTTTTCATTATTGTGAATCAAGACTGCACAGAAGTAGAGAAATTTCCCCCCATTTCTATTAACGTTCTCTTCTGCTATGAAGCATTTTTCATCTTCTATGATTAGGTAGTATTGTGCAAATCCTCATGGAATACAATGACTAGCATCTGCATCCTGTTCCTCTAGAGTATTGATAAGAAAAAGATCAGCAAAGAAAAACATTTAAATGCTGTGGCATACAGGGCTGGGCTCCCAGCTAAATATTAATTTTATGCTTACTGAGTCCATAATTCAAATAAATCACACTGATACTGTTATGAATTAGCACTGTTATTCTTATACAGGCCCACTGATATTTATGCATCTTATGTTTGTCTTAACTAGATAAAGTGTACTTGTTGCAATTCATGTAATTATCATAGTCATGTTGGTAATATCAAGTTAATTTGAGAAGGAACATTATTTTTTTTAAATTGTGTTTTTATTAGAGTTATATTTTGCCTTTCCTCCAGACACTGAACGTGCTTTATGGGGCAGCTGGGGAATGCTCTTTCATTTTATCTCCATTACAACAAGCCTCTGAAGATTGGGCTAATAGAGAATGATCAGCACAAAGTCACTGGGTGAGTTCCCATGGTTTAGGGTGGTTTTGCTTCTCCTCAGTCCTTATCTAACACCTTAACCATTATATCATCTGGCTCTTTTATGCTGGGTGGGCCAGAGCTTTGGAGTCTTTGATTGACAGATTATGTGCCATCAAGTCAGTGTCAACTTTTAGCAACCACATAGATTTTCTTCATGATGAGCTGTCCCTAACCTGGTTCTTCAAATTCATCCATAGCGTACCCACTGGCACCTTAACCGAGTCCATCCAGTGAATCTCAAATATAAGAGGTAGAGAACAGTCAGATCTCCTATCTGAAGAAAAATCTGACTTTGCTACTCTATGCCTCAGCTTCCACTAAAGTGGAAGAAAGAGCACTCTCACTGTATTCCAGCAAGAATACAACATTTCAAATGTTACAGTAATTTCAAAATCTTTACCCTTCTGACAATTGTTAACTTATATGATTATGAATTGGATGAGATTTAACATATATCTAAAGTCCAGGGAAAAAAAGATGGTAAACTGTGGAGCAGCCTCATCTGATACGTTAATTACACCATCATCTAAATAATCTGGACCTCATCCTTTAGTTACAATAAACTGCTACGTGCTTAGATTTTATTACATGTCATCAGAGATGTAAGGGATTGGAAATTTTGCTTCTTATTCTATTTATGTTATTAAATTACACTGCTGAAAACTGTTGCATTTGCCACTAAATGCTTACAGTGCAATCTGTGGGTATTCTGGGTGCTACAAAATGGGAGCTGGGGAATTTCATGTTGCTTGTGTGTCTGCTGATTGTCACCTCCTTGTAAACACCTTGTAGGTTGGCTTTACTGAATGAAGATTTAATGTTATGTATTCTGCTTTTACAGAAGTCAATACACAAATGGTCCAGTTGATAAATGATTGTTTATTTTTGTAAAATAGTATATTAAGCCACTCAGTGTTCTTCATTTGATGAAATTCTGTCAGAATAAATTAAAATTATTGTTATCCAGATGAGTCTCCTGCTAACAGACAATGTAAGTTATTTGATACTCCATTTTCTTGATTTGTTTTAACAGCTAGAAACCCTAAAGTCAAAGTTGCTATGCAGTTGTGGTTTCTTGATATTATACGTCATTTTGGTCATATTTGCTTTTGTAGATTGTATAGATTCACTTGACTGAAGTGGCACAGAAGCACCTGTAAAAAATGATTGAGTAAATATGTGGTGATGTTAAGGTTGAGAGAAAACAAGGGCTGTACATCTTATACTTAAGATAGGTCATTTGGAAAAGCTGGGGAACTTTCTGGGGAAAAGTTGGGGAACAATTTCCAGAAAATAAATTAATAGACAATTAGGAACTGTCTATTTAAAAGGCTTAGGAGATATCTGGTCAACAGTAGTGGCAGTTCACAGAATATAAATAGACTAATTTGCTTTCTTATCCAGCAGTGTTAGCAAATCTAACACAATTTGGGTAAGATTTGATTTAGACTGAATTAGATTAGATTAGGATACCTGAGCTGAGATTAGGTTTTTGCATGCAAATATATGAGTGTGTGTGGAAACTGTGATATAATACTGAAGTAAAAGAATGGGCAGATTAAGAAACACATTTTAAATTGTCTCAAATGCAAGTGTTATGCTAGATTTCTATTGTTAGGATTTTTTAACATGGGATGTTTTTAAAAAATGTCCCCCTTATGGTCTGTACTATATGTATGTATAGTTTTATTTACTTATTTATTTCACTTATTATTAATTTTATACCCTGCCTTTTTTCTTATATAAGCACTCAAGGCAGTTTTACAACAATTAAAAAACATATGTCAGTGAAATCAATACAATCCAAATTAAAAGCAATACTATCGATAACAAAAGGTTGATGAAAGAGATAAATTTATGCCATTTAACCATTTCCCTAAATACTGGGAGTATAGGGGCTAAACACATCTCTCTGGAGAGAACATTCTATAGCTTGGGAGCCATAGAGGATATGTATAGCCAGTAGCTGAGATTCTGGATATGGGGGCATCTTCAGGAGGGCCTCTCCTGCTAATCTAAGTAACTGGGCAGGTTCCTAACAAGAAATAATCAGGTGCTAAGTCATTTAAAAAATAATAATAATTAATCAACTAAATAAACAAGCAAAGAGGTTCATATATTTTGAGATTCTTTGCCTGCAAAAATAAGCCAAATACTGACTACAGTTTCTAATTTGAATAACAATCCAAACTTTGGGCAGAATTATACAAATGTCCACCTGTGAGAGTTGGAGAAACTTAGTCATGCTGCAGGGAAGGCCAAAAGACATTGGGAAAATGCTCAATCTCAGATGGTAACTAAAAAAAGATCACATCAGCACTTGGACTAGCTATATTTTTCCTGCCCTGCTCTCAACCCATTATGAGACTGTCTGGCAGTATCAACAAATTATGATTGGGTTAATGCACTGCATTAACCAATGGTTTGTTTACCCATGAGTTACTGAATAAGCCACAACTGACTAGGTTTACACAGATTTAACTAGTCTATACAACACTTAAAAACAATACCAAATAAAACACATTATGTCTGAATAAGTTGCATGATTTAGCTTGTATCTTGTTACGGATCAAGTGCAGAGTGAAAAGCTGAAGCCCTAATCAAAAGAGCTGTTTACGGTATAAAAACACATATAAAGAAGTATATAAAGAAATATTATATATTTCTTTTCTTTTTGTTTACTATAAAAGAGCTGCTTATGCTCAGTCCAGCATAAAAAAAATACACATTTTTCTGCATATCACAGACTCCATACAGAGTTCACATCAGGCAAAATGGGAATGAGACAAGCTGTATACTGCCTGTCAAAGAGCAATCCAAAAGTTAGTATTCACACCTCAGTATACAATTCTGGAGGAAAATAATAGCTTTATGTTGTTATTTGAAAGGAAAACTTGTTTGTGCAACCAAAATAATAATTTATCTACTTTTCATGTACCACATCCTAGTAAAGATTGGGCTCTTATATCCTGCATGGCCAGTTTTACGTATATTAGCTAAAAGCACTTTTAATGCCAACTGTGGTATGGTACACACATATGTACATCTTCAAGGTCATATGCATGTGCTCCAGATACAGCTGTAGTAAATGAAGTACCTGAGTCCAAGATGACAATGCACTCCTGTTTTGCCATCTGCTAATTCAATATATATAGTTTAATGGCAGGATCAAGTATCTTCTTTTTAGTCAAATTGAACACTAGTCTCTTATTTCCTCGGTTAACAGCTGTCAAATGCTATATTAATAAAACATGATGCTGCTTTCTGGAGGATCTACAGAGTGATATTGTGTTACTGCTGTTATTCAGTAATCAACCAGACCTGCCCAATTTTCTGTGAGAGAGCAGAATTGTAAAAGAGAAAGGGAAATCTTATTCATAAGGACATGAGTGAAAAGTGCTTTCCATTAATGGCCATTACAGAAAAGCTTCTTTGGCTATAGATGAACTATTTACCATTTAAAGACATTGTAGAAAGCATGCCTCAAACTTGCATACCAAACTACTTTTGTTACCATGCACCATTCTTCTGAGGATAGTCCATCAAATAAATAATATCCCGCTGACATCTATAAAATCAAATTTTAAAAAGTGATTTACGCAATACACTAGCTGATCTGCTAAGTTTATTTTTAGATCATGGAAAATATGCTATGCTATCCAGCAACTCACAGTGTAGCTAAACCATGTTGTACAGCTTGGTAGTCATTGTGTTTTTACAAATACAGCTGTCAGAGTCTCCAACTCTTGAACTGCAGATTGCAACTGTTATTTCAACAGTTCCAAATAAGGGACCATAAGCAATCAGGAATTATGTCTCAATCTGATATTAAAGTAATAAAACAATGGAGTTGGTGGGTTTGTTTCTACCCTTTTTATAT